TGACTGATTTAGTTAATTTTTATATATGGATCCAGGTTCAGGTTTTTACATAGAAAGGTCGAATTACCATTTCTTGTAACCAGGAACTGCCGTTGAGAGTCCAGGTCCTATGTAGAGGGGCAGTGAGAGAGGAAGCATGTGACCAGATGAGGTCTGTGACTCAGGAAGTGACCACGGGGCTCGGAAGATGGTGGTGTGGAACACGAGAAAGGATGGCGTCAGGCTTTAGTCCTGTAAAACAGTGAAGGTCGTTGTCTTCTTGAACTGAATGTTGCTCTAAAACAGTGGGTCTTAGGTAGAGGTGAGACCTAAGGTAAATTTCTGGTTGTCCCAATAGGTGGGGCTAAGGCCGGGTTTCTCTGGTCACAATAGGGAGAGGGCGGGGACACTGCTCAGTGCTGGACGAGCTCCACCCCACACTCCCAACAAGCGGGCGCCTGCTCCAAACTGTAGTTCCAGGGTTGAAAAGCCCTGCTTCAGAGAAGAAAGAGCAGCAAAGAAGGCAGAATGAGTATGCGAGATGATTGGCTTCTGTGAGCTCTGACAGTGTGCTGTCTCCAAGGAAACACATGCTCTCTTGTCTAGGGACCAGAGAAAGTTACCCAGATGATCAGAAATTAGACTTTGAGAGTCTCCACCAAGGATGTTTTCAGAGGATTCCTAAAAATCTTTTGATTACAAGTAATAGAAGAACCTAATATAAAGTGAAAATAATTTTAAGGAGATATGCCAGCTCTTACATTGAGGCTTTCAGGCTTCAGGTAGTGGTTGATCCAGAAATTCAGGGCTGTCACAGAGAACCCCAGATTCCCCAGATTTCCTTCTCATCTTACTTTTTGTATCTGCCAGAAGCTCCAGGTTACTTTTTTCTTTTTTGCTTTCATCAGGAGAGAATTTCTCACCTCCTGCTAACATGTATTTCTCTTTGATTGGACTGTTCTACATTAAGTGTCCAGACATGAAATGATAGTTTATAGCATTTAATGCAGACCTGTGCTGTCCAGTGCAGTAGCTGTGGGCCTCGAGTGACCATAGAGCTCTTGCAGTGTAGCTAGTCCCAACAGAGACAGGAGAGAGCAGTGTGGCACACGTTCATAGTCCTTTTGAATTTATTGGGTTATAGCAAATATATTATAAAATTTACCTTCGCTGTTTTTTTAAACATTTTTTAAATGAGACTATAAGAAAATTTTAAACTATGCAAGTGAATTTGAATTGTATTTCCTGTGGAGAGCAGTGGTTTAGATCATTTAGGAACCCCTAGAAATACAGTGTTAGCAGTTCTCCCCAAACCCTGTGGATGATATACACAGGATAAAACGGATGTTGGCAAAATTATCAAAAGTTAAGGCATCCACAAAATGGAAATGTTTGTTCATTCACTACTATTTCACTAAAGATACATGTCTAGAAATACTACTATTGAAATCTCATACTTGTTTTCTCAAATATTGTTTTGAATTTGGAAATTATCAAGTGTATAATTGTACTCATAGTAACTAGTGAAAGAGGAGAAGATACACAAAGAAAAAGTAAACAATTCGCATCCCCTCCAGTCCTTGTGTACATTAGCCTTAGGTAGTCATTGTCCTGATCACCTGTATTCTTTCATTTCTTCAAATCACACACATGTGTGCACATACGCCGATTTGTTATGATTGTTGCTGTTACCTGTCATGACGAGAATGGTGAACTCTGTCTTTAGTTACTTTTCTGGTTGCTGGGAAAGGAGACCCAACACTTGCAAGTTAGAAGACTAGAGGTTTGTTTTAGCTCACAGTTTGTAGAGGTTTTATGCCATAGTTGGCTGGATCCAAGGAAGAGCAGCCAAGCAAAGGAGAAACGTGTGCTCATGACTCGACCACAGGAAGAAGACAGCAATCGAGGGAGGCGTGGGGAAATAGACCCATCCAGACCACCCCACAGTGACTCCTCCCACCAGGCTTCCCCTCTGAACATCTCATTTAGCTAAAAACGCATTCATAGACTAATCCACTAGTGAGTATCATGTCCCTATGGTCCAGTCATCTCCAAAAAGCCCCACCCATGAATGCATGAGGCTTTGGGGAACATGTAGATATAAACCATAATACTCACTCTTCACAAATTTTTTTTACCTTATCAGTCTTCCAAGTCCATAGGGATAGAGTCATCCCATTACTTTTAATAATTATGTGATATTTTACATGACAGATGTACCACTTTCATTTCATCATTTGTCTGTTAATGGGTGTTCATGTTGTTTCTAGTATCTCCCTCAGCTACCACACCCTATTTTGCCCTCACCACGAAGAGTGCTATGATAAACATCTTTGTACTTACATTCTTATGTACTGGTCCTTTTTTTGTTTTGTTTTTTTCTATAGGATAGATTCCCAGAAGTGGAATTGCTTGGTCAAACGGTATGTGTATTTTAAATTTTAATAGATTTTGCTAGATTTCATTAACCAAATAGCAAGTCAGCTTCACACATAAAAGTACCCATTTCCAACCTCTCACCAGCATGAGATGCCACTGCCCTTTTTAATTCTTGCCAATCTTTTTATCTCTGATGATTGCTTTCATTTCCATCTTCTTTGTTATCGCTAATTGTATTTTCGATGTCTGTTGTCCATGAAATTTTCTTTTCTTCATTTCGCATTCATTTTGCATAGACCATTTTTCCATTTTAAACTTCTAGGAGCTCTTATGTTTTAGAAATATTCCTTTGTTACATGTGTGTAGATAGATATTTGTGGGCTTTATCTCTGTTTATTATGGTCTTTTGTCACATGAAAACTGCTAATTGTTGTTTAATCAAATACGTCTGTCTTTTCCTTCATTTTTCTGAGTTGTATGTCATGCTCAGTGTGGTATTTTCTATCCCAAGGTTGTATAAACATTCTCTTTATTTTCCTAATTTAAAAAAGTATTTAATCTTGTTCCACTTTTCAGTTTTGTGCATGATATGAAATAGGATTCTATTTTGTTCTTTTTCTTTCCCAGATAGATAACCAGCTACTTAAGTCTTAGTTGTTACAAGAATCTTTATTTTATTTCATTGTATTTTTTGGTACCGGGATCGAACTCGCGACCTTGTGCTTGTGAGGCAGGGGGGCTGCACCACTGAGCTAAATCCCCGTCCCCAAGAATCTTTATTTTTTGTGGGATTGAATTTTACTCTGGTCACATATAAAGATGCTATGTATATTTGGATCGTTTCTGGATTTTCGGTTCATATTCCTCTCTATTTCTGTGAGCTCTATTCTGTTTTGAGTGCAGTGGCTTTTTAGTGAGTAGTAATCTCTGGTAAGTTCTCCTTTGCTAGCCTTCTTTTCAGACTTTTCATGACTGTTATGAGCCATTTATTTTGGGTTTTTTGTTTTGTTTTGTTTTGTTTCGTTTTTGGTATTGGGGATCAAACTCAGGACCTTGTGCTTGCAAGGCAGGCAGCGGTACCACTGAGCTAAATGCCTGGCCCATTACCCATTTGTTTTTTCACGTTCAAGTTCAGTTTAAATTAAACTCTTAAATTTAAAATCTGAATTTTATCTTACATGTTTTTGTAGCCTAACACTACACAGTAAGTAAACCAAAATTAGTTTTTACTAAGGGGATCACTCTACTTCATGTTACTAATGGGAAAACTATTTACTGATAAACTAAGGGTTATTTTTTCTATCAATTTTAATTCTTTAAATATGATTTTACATTATTTCTGCGGTGAGTGGTGTAATTACTCCAAGATGCCAAAAAAAAAAAAAAAATGGGGCTAAAGCCATCGCAGTTTAATTTATCTAAGAATCGGATCCTTGGATATGAGGGCGATCTGGCTGTGACATCTCACCCCATTGATCACCAGGGTTGATTCGGCTCATCTGGCTGGCTAGGCGGGTGTCCCCTTCCTCCCTCACCGCTCCATGTGCGTCCCTCCTGAAGCTGCGCGCTTGGTAGAAAAGGACGACCACCCCCGATAGAGGAGGACGGTTTCCTTGGTCAAGGGTATAGAAGTAGCTGCGCTCGCCTGGTAGAAACTTCATACAAGCTCTCAAGAATCAGATCCGTGCATTAAAACTTAAGTACTTCAAGTTTTCAGTGATTATGACATTATAAATTTGTATTTCTGTTCATGTACCAAACTGTGTATATCTAGATTGGTTGAGGAGTTAATATAATTATATGAACAAAGAATTATCAATGAAATATATAATAAACTGTATTTTAGAATATTTTATTATTGGGTTCTTTTTAAGCTTGATAGTGAATATTTTATGGATTTAGATAGTTCTCACATCTGACATTTTAGGCAGAGTTGTTTAATATTTGACAGTTCTTAACTTTAATCTGTTAATATGGTATTTACTCAATTCTCACATTCCTTACTACTTCTTGAAAATGTTAGTTGTTATAATACTAACATAATAAATACTTTTGTGTTTTTCTAAGGGTATTCAAAATATTGGAGGTAAACATTAAAACTTCTTATAAAAAAAAGAATGATAATAGCTTGCAGATAAACAAATAGACAAAGGTAAGGTCTGTATTTTTTTCTCCCCCTTGTGCTGGGGATCAAACCCAGGGCCTTGCTGAAGCTAAACAGGTGCTTTACTAAGGAGCTATACCCTAAGCCTCTTTTTTGTGTGTGTGTTACAATCTTTTGTGTGTGTGTGTGTGTGTGTGTGTGTGTGTGTGTGTGCAATACTATATGATCAAACCCAGGGCCTTATACATGCTAGACAGTTGGTCTACTGTTGAGCTCCACCTCCAGCTCAAGGTCTGTATTTTGCTCATGGATGTAGAGGGACAGCCCCATTTAGGTCCTAATGTGTTTACTTGGTTAAATAGAGAAGAATCATTAGTTTTTCTGTAACCAAGATGAAACACTGAATACTATTGAATGATATATTTGGATAAAATAGAATTGTGTTAAAAATTGGGATTCCCACTGATTTTAATGATATTACAATGCAAATAAATGGATTGATAGGACACTTTTTACATGTATGTAAATATTAAAGATGGTAATTTAGAAAAGAGAGAAATTAAATGATATCAAGTCCAAAAAATAGAGTTCAGTTCACAGTGTTGAACTTAGGAGCTTTATCGGTCAAAACCAAATACTGTTTTTCTACTTTGTTTTAAAGATGGTGACCTCCCCCCCGACTGCCTATGTTGATAACCCAAAAGGTGCTTCAGGTTCCCCAGTTTTGATTTTTACTCTCCATTAAAGGGCATCAAGACTTTTTTGGAATATTCCTGGGTGATGTGGTTAAATAAGCAAAATTTTGTTGGTTTTGGAACAATCTTTTTTGCTAAAGAAAAGGATGCTTTGAACAATGTATTGTTCGGGCTTGGAGGGACAAATGCAAGAAGCATTAAGAGTTTTCTCTGGCTAGAAGTGAAAATGTACACAGCAAAGAGGAAATGGTTGTCATAAGCTATTGAAACAATTTGGCCTACGAAGAGCCAAAAGTCGGTTATGAAACATGTAAAAATGACAAATGATACACACTGTGTAATACACTGTGTTTCCACATAAGCTGTGTTTTCAACAATTCAGAGAATGTTTAATCATCATCAAAATTGATAAATGTAAAAGATAGAGTGTATCTTAAAGATGATTATGTGTGTATATCTTTGTAAATTCTATATTGTTAATATTAAAATTGTTTTAAAATGTAGGTAGGGGGGCTGTAGCTCAGTGGCATTTGCCTGGCATAGATGAGGACCTGAGTTCAATCCCTAGCATGTCTGAAAAAAAAAAAAGAATCCTAGGTATTTGCAAATTTAAAATTAAACTAAAATCCAATATAAAATAGATGTCAGAAACGTAAAAATAATAAAGGAATTTTTTTATAATACTGTCACATATTTAAGGATTTAATTTATTCCAGTACTGCCCAATCCCTAAAACCCTGAAAGATAAAGCTGTTTAAATTAGGGTAGAGAATCTGTCTGTTTTTGTAAAACAGATATAAACAACCACGTGTGAGCAAGGATTGGAGGGACTTCCACAGAGCTTAGTGTTCCTGAAGCCAAAAACAGTATTTGTGGCAATGGACTAAGGTTTCCAAAAGCTACTTACATTTGGGAAGATATACCCTGTAGATTAGTAAAAATAATGCTTACAGAACATGAAGAATGGGGAGAAAAGGATGCTCTAAAACTGCAACATTAGGTTTGAAAAAGTCCTATTTATTCATTTAAATTAATCAGCTGAGTTTATACTAGAGAATAAGTCTTGCTTTTGTTGAGATATTACTTGTATTAAATACGACCTTTCTGGGTTTAGCATCACCCTAAATTGTCTCTAAATTGTCCCCTCTTTATTTTTGATAGTTCACTAGTAGAATATGTTAAGCTTCCTGCATATAGGAGTTAGCAAAGTATGGAAGCAACAGATCCAGTGCCCATATTAACTTTCATATTTCTTACATTTTAAACAGGTCTGTCAGGGCTTAAGTGTAATATCTCCAGGAAAGATGTAAGTCTTTCAGAAGGACACACTCTGTTGCTTGCTTGCTGCAGACATTGTAAATCAGCTATAATTGTGGCCTGAGTGCTTATCTTTTCTGCTGGCAGGCCTCCTCACCATGAAGAGAGTTGAAACTGCTCTGTTTATGTGGATGAAGCCAATGGGTCAGTCATCAGTGACCCTTATTCTCTGAACCTTAAAGAGGAATCTCTGTTTTTATCTTTTGAGAAACCTATTGTGAGCTGGTGACATGTACTGCCAGGTGCAGTGAACTTCCAGGTTAAGCCATGTCAAAGGAATACCTTTTAAAATAGCACGTTAAGTTTGATCCCTTGCTATTAATCCCCACAATATTTTTATACATGGATGTTTAAATGTCAGTCTCCTCTGTTTTCCACTGTCATTTCTGCTAGCATTCAAATTCTAATGAGTGATATAACTCCTTGCAAAAAAAAAAAAAAAAAAAAAAAAAAAAAAAAAAAAACCAGATCTCTTCTTATTGGGTTTGTTAAAGGCCAGCATACTATCACTGAGAAAGGGGTAGGACTATTGAAATGTATGAATAGAAATCTTCAAAAGTGAATCTGTCAAAAGCTATAGAAAGTAAAGGTATTTTAAATATAATTGCAGTTGTATTCAGTAGGGAGAAAAAAAAGTCAAAGCATTTCTACTTAATGACATTCCTGAGGTGTGGAAAATTTTGTAAGAAAGAGCAGAATATTCACAGGAAGAAAAGCACCATAGTGTCCTCCAATTGAGGGCAGTACAAACCCCCAACCTCCAATTTATCTGACCTGGTCTCCACCGTATCTGTTAAGGCCCCTTCATTTTCATCTTCTCAGGCTTCCAGCATGGAGCATAAGATCATTTTGTAAGGACACTGTGACTGAACAAATATTTTCTTTTACATGGGACTTTCAGAGAAATCCTTTTATCTTCTAGATGGCC